AGATCGTCTGAAGTCCTAAACAAATTAGGCTGGGAAACCCTGGCTAGGAGACGAGAACAAAACAAGCTAGTATTGAAGGATAAAGTCTTGGGGAACCACACTGAGCCAAACCTTAAAGATCTTTTTTCTCGGAGAAATGCATCGCAGAATATTTATGATTTACGCAATAGCGAAACTGATCTCTCGTTAAAAAACCGAAAACGGAATTTCTAAAGAAAACATTTGGATACAGTGGAGCAATTCTATGGAATAGTCTCCCGCAAGATGTCAAGGCAGCTGAGTCAATTACGTCATTTAAAACAATGGCGAAATTGCATTTAAGCAGATGATAAGCTAATTTCTCCAGGACCAAATGATGGGAGGACAATATAGATTGTGGGCGGGAGGGGGGTTAGTTTTGCGTGAGGGTGGGTGGGTACTTGTTTAGGGGTGGAGGTTTGGGAGGAAGATGATAATATTTTAGGGTGGGATTCTTACATATTTTGTTCTATATATAATTAACATTTAGCTCTTTGTGTGTATACGCCCTTCGTGGAAACCAGTTGTAAATAATTGTCGAAGTTAGCGTGTTGAAATAAAGTTTTACATACATACATACATACATACACGTGAAAACGCGCAAGTTGTTACAGGTGTGCAAACAACTTCTTATAAATCTGTTCACAAGCTGTTGACAAGTGTGTTCGCACTGCTTGTTCCTATAGTTGTTGTAACAAGTTTGCACCAATTCAAGCTGTAACATGCAACTTGTTACAACCTTGTTGATATTATCATACTTAATTGTTGCAAGGTTGTCCTAACAAGTTTGATACAGTCATGATATAACAAGAATGTTACAAAGTTGACGACACAAAGTTGTAACAATATTATTATATCATGACTGTATCGGACTTATTGAAACAATGATCTTCATGCAACAAGTCTGATAATATCAATAAGGTTGTTGTTACAAGTTATCAACAGCTTGTTCCAAATTTGTTGACAACTTGGGACAAGCAGTGCGAACACAACTTGTCGACAGCTTGTTGGCAGACTTGCATGCTGCAACATGTGAGATTTTTACGCGTGCAGTGGGGCTTTATTTGGCACATCCATACAAGCTTCCATTTAACTTGCTGTGCAATTGGTCGGTTAATTGACAAGCTTTTATTTAAACGAAGTATAGTATTTAGGTTCTATTTGAAAAACACCTTTCCGTGAAGGAGATTTCGAGTTCCTCTTAAATATTTATCGAATTTTTTTAGACAGTGCAAAAAAATTACCACAAAACGGGGATCAAGATTTTATCAAACTTGAAAAATAGTTTGGTCGAAAATTGTCATGGTCAAAAGGACGCTTATACTGCATGATTGTTAACTGATATAATTTTGTTAACTGATAATAATATTTGTCTTTGGGCAAGAATCGTCTACGCAGTGGCGTGCTGGTAGGGGGGGCCGGGGGGCCACGGCCCCCCCAGCTGGCAATTCTTGCAGGGCGCAAAAATGAAAAGGGGGCGCCGATCCCGCGCCGAGTTTTGAAAGTGGGTGGGAAAAAACGCATTCGAAAAAATATAGTTCCTTCCGCCGAGAAAAGATGTGTTTATAGGCTTATAAAACAGACTAAGCACATAGGCGACAAAGTGATATATTAAATTATACAGACTATTTTGTCTAACCGTATTTGCTAATTTGCTACCTCACGACTCACACGAAATCGTTCATATAGAAACATGAACTGTGATCACACGCAATGTCTCATCACCGGAATATTGGTCAGGTTTCGAAGCGATCACGGGAATTATGCCCTTTTTTGCTCGTATTATGCCCTTTATTATGCTTCACGAATCACAAGAGCGGCGCAAATTAGATAGTTTAAGTTATGATAATGTAAAGTTGTGTACGCAATTTAGTTGTTTGCGCCAGAAACATCATGGAGTAATGTAAGTAATGAAATAATGCTGAAACGCGCCCTTTTGGCAGCCAGGCAGGGAAACCTTAAAATGCATATGCGTGGGGTCCGTGTGTTATTGTATAAAAGAGCTGTATGTTGTAATTGTATTCAGATCACTAGATCAGTAGAGAATAGAATTGGGGTTAGATTAATCGCTGGAAGTTGTTAGCATTGCATAATATAAGTACTACTACTACTAAATTCAAACCAAATTGCAAATTTCGACACGTTATAATGCCGTTTCCTGACCATCAGATTTCTGTCAAATCTTCCCCCAAAGTCCAGGAAATGGCATTACAGAGACTCTAAATTCAAAAATTTTCCTGGGGGGCATGCCCCCGGACCCCCCTAGACAAACCTCGCACCTGCGGCGCTCGGCTCGTGCCTTCGGCCCTCGTTTATCAAGCGAAACATTATAGGGGCGCATATTTGTTGACAGCCCACTGGCCCCCCCAGAAAAATAGTACCCAGCACGCCACTGCGTCTACGTCGGGAAACAATGCGAACAAGGGGATGCTGGATAAACAAGTTTCTTCATGCATCCAATGTTCGCATGCTAAAACCTTATGTTTCACAGAACTGTCTCGAATCCCGTCACGCGGGACAATTTCCCCCAAGGCCACGCAAAACTAACAAAGGAGTAAAATAAATTAGCTGGAAATAGCTGACGTTTGGGTTAACTTGTAGAGTTAACTTCATTGAAATTGGAAATTGGCGCGACCCATGCAATCGCAACGGCAACGATAATTGTCTTAAAATTATGTAGTTTAATTTACTAGTCTACAGGTTTTTTAATCGCTTTTGTTCAGTATGAGATATTCTCCGATCCAACTTCAAACTTTTTTATCTCGGTTAATATTGCATGAAAGTTCAAATGTTGTATATTACCATTAATTAACGATGATTTATATTCGGTGAAAGATTGAATGTTAAGTTCAATTCGACTGTCGATTTATTGATTTGGATTGGTAAACATCCATTATTTAGTTGTATAATATTGAATATTTGATAAATCATGAATGTTTTTGAGTGCGATGTTCTTTATATTAGACAGTGACAGTGTTCTGGCCAATACGGCAAGTCTTAATAAATTTTGCAAACCTCTTTGCATGAGAAATATTCTCCCTCCCCTCCTCCCCTCAATCAACAGTGTTGAACCTGGTAGTTGCAGGTCAGACTAAGATGGTCTTGTTGGTGTTCCTTATGGATATAGAGGTAGTGCCCATGCACTGTCCAATTTAGTCAAACCTGAAGCCCACTGACACATTGGCCAGCTGAATGTATAATGATGATTACATTACAATTTAATATTTTGTAGAATTGTAGTGTTCCATGGAAATCGATTTTACTTTCTCCTGCTGTTTGGGCGATTGTTACTGCTCATTTTTGTCTCCTCTGGGAGTTCTACATTTTCCTTACTACTCTACCAACTTATATTAAGACTGTTCTGGGTATAGATTTACTTGCTGTAAGTAATTGTTGATGGAATTATTGCACACTCATCGAAGGATATATAATATACTAGCTGTTACAGTCGTAGAGAGATACTCTTTTGTCTTATATTAAATTATCAGAAAAGAATAGAGTGGACTTTGCAGGCGAAATTAAAACGAAAAGAGACAAATTGCAAGCTTGATAAGGCGGGCAATTTGAGTTATACCAAGTATTTTTTCACCTTTTGGCTACAATTCAAGTATTCACGCAATATCCTGGTTTTATCAACAGCCCTGACTATTTTATATTTGGTTTGTTACGAAAACAGTTGAGGAATTTCCGTTCTATATCGTGGAAAATGATTAAAATTTGGACGTGCCAAAGTGGCGCAGTCATGACTAAGAAAACACCGCTCTTGAACATCGAAAAAGCAGTTTAAAACATTTCTATAGTGTTCCAGAACTTGTTTTGTATTAATATCCAGGTATTGTTGTTGATTTTGAGTTTTCAGTCCCTGCTTGAACTACATCCAAAAACTGGAAAAAATCGATGTTTTCAAAGTTGTATTATTTTCGTAATTTCCCGCCCCTTCTAAATCGGAATTCAATGAGAATTCAGAACCGGGCAACGAGATTTTAGCCAATCAGAGAGCGTTACTTACCACCATTAGGGAGGTTTGAATTTGTCCCTCATTTTCCCCGCGCAATGCCCAGTCGGACACTCTATTCTTTTATATAATCCCCATGCTTATTAGGATTTCGCCACTGATTAGACTCTCTACAGCTATATCCAAGAATAAAAATATAATAAAATATATTTAATTTTTTGATTGAGAAGTGGTCACAGAAAAGTTGATCAGACCCTAGGATGGATATGATCTAGCCAAAAATCCTGTTTAAGATGGCTCGATATAGTTTTCATTAACGTCAGGTGTATAACAGTTTGCGGACAGTTTTAAACGTCGTATATAATTTTAGGTTTTATGCAGCAGATATCAAGGTTTATTTTAATGTTTTTTCTTTCGAATCATGTTAGTTTTGGTAACACATAGTTCGTTTTATGGTGACACCCACGTACGAAATTCACTCTAATATAAGCTATTGTTATCGCATGTACATATGAAATTATTTAACCAGTAAACGATCATATTTATTTCGCCTTCTGTAGGACATTATGTGGTTTCTGTTGCGGCTCAATTTAGGCGTTTTCATGCATGTATGTATAATCTTAATAGATTTATTTAATTGTCTTTCATTTAGACTGGTTTCTTGTCGTCTCTTCCCTACATTGTCATGACAGGAATACTTTATTTAAGTGGTTTTACATCAGACTTTGTTATAGCAAAAATGTTTTGTTCTACTACCTGCATAAGAAAATTTTGTGTTTGTGCAGGTAAGAGGAAAACACAAAGAAGACTATGTACTGTAATTGACAATTAAAGAAATTGGCACACATTCTACAGTATAGGTACTGATAATGATAGGTTTACACCATTGCCTCACTGTACACCAAAATATACGATTGTTTTTATCCAACCGAATATTCCACCTTAACTTTAGGATCTCAAATTAATTTAGTGAAAATTATAAACATGGTACGTGTGACCCCATGCATGTATTTTTTGGTGAGCATGCAGTTTGTGATAACGCATGATCTCCACCTATTGCGATTGCTCCTAATGTTGTATACTGTATCCTTTTAGGTTTCTTACTTCAAGCAATATTTACAGTGTCAGTTGGCTATACAACAAGCCAGAATACAGCTGTAATATGCTTGACGTTTGGAGTGGGAATGACAGGTCTTGTATGGAGTGGATTAGGTGTAAACATGATTGAAATTGCACCAAGATATGCAGGATTATTGATGGGAATTTCAAACTGTATTGCAACTGTACCTGGTATAGTAGGACCACTAATTGCAGGAGCACTAACACCCAACGAGGTTGGTTCAATCCAGATTTTTTGTTTTGTGAATATAAATTTTTACATTGCACCATTGGGTAATAAAATATCTTTAGAATCTATTGGTGATGCCACAACATTGGTCAGCTTTTCTTAGCTGTGATGCATGCATGATTTTTAATTCCCAAGCCCAGGGCTAGGATATGAAGGAGAGTATAGCGAAGTGAAAAGTTTTGTTCGTTGTGTGGATGCACACGAGTGCAAGCTGAGAATGGACTGGTATCTTTGACTAAGGGCTTTCGACGAAGGGCTTTCGCTTAGGTAGTTGTATCCCTATCATATATCACTCCAAACTTTCTTACCTCTAATGAGCGTAAATAATTGTCTATTCTCGCATTTGTAATGCCGAACATTTGTTTCACTCAATGCTCGTCACAGTTAAGCCCAGTGGCGTAGCCAGAACGATAATTGGGGGGCCCCATATTCATATATTCGTATTCACATACCATAAAAACAATTGATTTCAAAAGAAATTAATAAAGCAGAACACGAATATATGAATATGGGCCCCCTCAATTATCGTTCTGGTTATGCCACTGGTTAAGCCTAGTTTCCATTTGGTCGTTAGTTGTTGCTGGCACGACAAGCGGTAGGTGTGAAATAGTCTAATATAATAATAGTTGTTTTGTGGGTTATATGCACATCGGTCTTAATGATTGCAGAGTTTTGTAAAGTTTTGTTGACACTCTATTACATCAGCCACTTGTCGTGCCAGCGACAACTAACGACCAAATGGAAACTAGGCTTAAGCGTGAATGTCGAGTTAAATGTGCGACTTGCCGATTAAAACCGTATCACTCAAATGTATTGTTCTTAGCTTCAATGCTTCAGCATTGAAATTTATTATTTATTTAAAAGATTCATGGCTTCTGATTGGCTGACAGCCAACTGTGAAATCGACATATTAACCGAGTAGCTACCCAAATATGGAGTTTTTGCATATTCAACGGAGTGACGTCATAACGTTGAATATGAAAAATCATATTCAACGTTGTGACGTCATGCTGTGGAAATACGAGCACAAAATGTGGAAACACAACCTAATCAATATGGCAACGAAATGTTTTGAAACATCTTAAAAAAAAGAAAGATTTTCTGGGAAAAAGAACTGGTTTAATAGTCGACGAATTGACGGCACGGGTGAGGATGTCTTTTTCATCTTTTAAAAATTAATTAAATAAGTACTAAAACAATTATTGAATTCAGTTTTCGCAAGATATGAGGAACTATTATACCTCAAATTCAAAGCGTCCAATCAGAAAGCTAAGTTTGTACCACGTGAGCATGAAATTTATCGTCGAATCACACCTTATACGTCATCGTAGTTTGACATAGCGGGTGATTTCAATCACCGGCGAGGTGATTTGATCAACACGCGGCGATCACGCAAACACATTGGCCGACAAAATATCTTACTAACTAGAAGTTACTATCGCAAGGAAAATGCTGCCTCACCACCAAGGGATGGCACCATGCGCAATTTGCCGAATAAGGGGTTGTTTATACGATCCCGCTTCGCCAGGACGAGATATGAGGCAGGATGATTTTGTATTGAAATGAGTCACAGTGCACATTTCAGCAAAAAACATTTTTCTAGAGATACAGTAGATTATAGTTAACTGTAAACAAAAGGTTGTTCAAGCAGCAATTATAACCTTCTTGAACTACAAGATCTTCTCTACAATATTTGAGTTCTGTTAACAAGCATTTGAACTTTTGTTAACCTAGTGACTTATTCCAATACATCAAAAATCATCCCACCTTCCATCATGTAAACAGGAAAAGTGGAAAGGTCAGCTAAATGCATATGAATACATTCAATGCTTATAACTTCTTGCTTTTGTATGTACTATTTAAAACACTGTCAGTGGTGAAGCTGACATAGCAACAGGTCATGCTATGCAAGTTTTTATTGATTTGCATTATTCAAATACATGCAGGTTTATTGGCGTGGCATAACCAGTTGCCATGGTAGCTAGCCTACCACTGAATACTGTACAAAATCGTATTATATTATATAAACAATAATAATACTTGAATGAATCATTGGACATGTAGAATTTAATAATAATTCCATATATAGAAATATTAAGTCAGTTTTTGTCCCAATCATTATTTTAATGCCATAATGACACCTTCAAGGCTACGCCTATTGCAAAACAACTGAACAATCTGCTGGTGCTTTTGATGGAGAGAGTTTTCAGCCCGGCAGCATGTAATCGCAAATAATTTCAGCCCGGCAGCATGTAATCGCAAATAATTTCAGCCCGGGCTAAAAAAACAACCGTTTAAATGGCTTTATTTTGTGTGTTTGTTTCATCTTTATTAAATACTTTACATATAACCACAGTCTCACACAAGTCAAATAGTCGACTAATCAGCATCTGGTTGCTTCAAAGAAGCATAACAGGCTTATTGTCTTATTTCATGACACTCAAATTATTCCAGTCTCAGCCCGGGTTGACTATAAGTATAGCTCTGAGCCTCTGACTAAACTCTGCCCGGGCTCAAACAGCTCATGTAATCGTGATGCAATTTCAGCTCATTTAACCAGGCTGAAACTCAGACCGAGGTGAAAATTCTCCATGTAATCAGCCCCTAAGATTGTACTCAGTCAGAACTGCAAAACTATATAATACAATTGTGAGCATTATCAAAAAATTCAGTGTATTCTGTGACTGAGTACTTCAGTGACAGTCAGGTGAATATATAAATGTAGGCTGGTAGGATTATTTCATATTATGCTATTAAACAATGGACATATCTCAGAGATATATTTTTACAGACCGTCATACCTTTTACAAAAGTCGGTTGTCAACTTGACACGTTATTTATACATGTATTAACTGCTGGTAAGTTAATATGTGCAGACAACAATCCACACTGGGTTGCTATAGGAATATCTTTGTACAAGTCAGACAATTTTACGGATACTGCTCAATCGATATTGCCAAAATAACAATCACTGTGATTATTTATCCCTTAGAAGTACGATGTTCCATCAAGCCTACGATCAAGCTCAATCAGATTTTTTTTTATAATACAAACTGATAAATATCGACGAAGTGACGAAGTCCACTTGTTTACTATGAAGCTAGTATGCACCTAAAAATGTAATAATTTAAATACAGTTAATTCATTCGCTTCAAGTTTCAGCGCGTATCGACTAAAACACATTGTTATTTGTGATCAAACTTTCATCTTACCTTGAAATTTGAAAAGTATTTCGAAATATTTCGATAAACAGCCAGAGCCATTTACTATTCGTACAGCAACGTGTTTACAAATTGTCATGGTCCACGGTGCTGTTCACCAGTTTCGACTAGTGTAGTCGGAAAGTTAAATCGCGATCTGGAGTATGTTATATTTATTAAACTTTCTGTGACGTCAAAAAACGTCATAAATCTGATCATCTTTCCGTATGTACAAACATCCCAAATTGACTTCTTGGCTGCATATAATCCGCGCACCGGAAACGGACTGGTGAAGAATAGTGTGCTGCCTTCGGCAGCAATTAGTGATATGAACAGTGTGACCAGACGTGGTAATTTCATTACTACCGTGGTAATTTTTCGTCATTTTTGGGCAATTGTGGTAATTGGAAATTTGTGGTAATTACTACGGTAATTTCAGAACAAGCGTGGTAATTTTTCGTCAAATTTTGGCCGATTGTGGTAATTTGAAATTTCCTGACCTTAAATGTACAGATTTTGGTGAAAAACCCCTAAGTGTTAGAGATTTTGGGGAAAAAAAACGGGTTTTGGCCTTGTTTTAGGCGAAAAAACCCGGTTTTGGCCTTGTTTTAATTATTATTTTTCCGGAAAAATTTTTTTAACCCTAATTTAGGGGGAACTTGTCCGAAAAAATTTTTGTCCGGAAAAAATTTTTGCGACCTCGCTCGCCAACATTTTCGGGGAATTTTTCGAAAAAAAACGGTAAAATTGGGAAAATATAGCACCGTGGTAATTTCAGACCCAAAATAGTAATTTTTGAAACCGGATGTGGTAATTTGGCCTCAAAAAACCTGGTCACACTGGTTCTATTAGGATTGCTTCTAAGTGTCAGTGCGATGGAAGCGATACAAACTGATTAAAATGGCTTTAGTATATTCATATTTCAAGCATAAAGACGGCTTTAAAACAGTGTGAGGAAGAAGCGAGCAAGGTTGCTGTTTGTATTTGAATGACAAAGGTCTGGCCGCCAATGCAATTCAAAACGTGTGGTTCACAGCGTCAATGCTTTAGAATTAGTTCGCCTGTAACTTCAAAGATGCGATAAACCTCGAAAGGAATAAGGTGAGTTATTATAATAATGCGAGAATTATAATGATTGTTGAATTTGTTGTCTGCGATTGTCGTATTTATAATACGACCGCCATTTAATATGCTGAGGCTATAATTTCTGACTATTCTCATTGCCATTGCAGTCTCTGTTAAGAAAACTTGCGCGCGTTTTGATTTACAAGTACTGTAGTTTTGTCTGATTTATCTTGCGTTTACTGCTTTCATTTCAATTATAAAGACAGGTATTTTAGAACCTGAGGTGGAAAATCGGGAAATGGCTGTTAAATGCCCAACCTCAACTATATCATATACATATAGGAATGCAAGATTTTGTGCATTCTATTTAAATTACGCACAACAACACAGACCAACAATACTTTATTCATTAAATTTCAATGGCAAACCGAAACGGTAATGTTTTATATTGATTACTAAACGATGGAATTTATTTTATTAATACTGTCTGTGAGATGAGATACAGTATACACTACACAGCTGGACCTGAGCTGGGGTTTCATGAATATTTTTGCCAACTCGAATTTTATATTTGATTTTTAACCATTAATTTAAGCTGCAATGTTCCCAAATATACCTTATTTTATTGTTTTATTCTGGCTAACGCAGACAATTTTTATCTAATTTGCCAAGGGGATCTTATACCGTAAACCTCCGACTATAAGCCCTGGGCTTATATACT